TGCGGGGTGGGCGGCGGAGCTGGCTGCTCGGCCCGCGTCCCGCTTTGGTGAGGGGTTCAGAGCTGACTGTCGTCTCTCCACCTGCAGCCCGGATCCATTGACTCCAACAACCAGCTTTTTGCACCAGGAGGGCGGCTGAGCTGGGGCAAAGGTAGCAGTGGAGGGTCTGGAGCGAAGCCTGCAGATTCAGGTAGGCGGCCTGGGGCTGGCTGCATGTCGTTGGATGGGGTCGAGGGAGGGATCCTTCCCCTACCGGGGAGGTGCCGAACTCTGAGACTCGCCTCTTTTCACGCCCAGCATCTGATTCAGGGCGACCAGCCACGAGCACCTTGAACCGCTTCTCAGCGCTGCAGCAGGCGACGCCTGCCGAGAGCCTGGAGTCCCGACGCGTGGTGCAGAGGTGAGGGGCCAGCCCGGCTTTGGTGTGCCGGCGTGGTGGTCTGCATCTCGGGGAGGGAACCCCTTGAATCGGGCAATACGTAGGCAAAACGGATGGCATCTGGGCTGGAATAATCCCCCGTGGCAGGATGGGGCCTTGGGGAGCTTGGTGTTGGTGGTGAGTCCTTGCGCCAGAGAAGGCTGAACCCTCACCCTGGGCTTCCTCCCCGCTGTTGGCACTTAGGGGGAACCACACCTGGGTGCTGGGTCCGATCTGGGGGTCCTGGGGACCACACAGACATTGATGGGCTGGAGGGAGTCCCATGGAGGCTGGAGCATGAGGTCCCCAAGGAGAGGTGGAGTTGGGTTTGTTGAGGAGAAGAGGAAAAGAAAGGGGGATTCTCGACGCAGTCTGCAGCAGGGAAAAGGTGTGGGCAGGATGGGGCCAGGCTCTGCTCAGCCATGCCAAGGGGCAGAGTGAAAGGCAAAGGGTGTGAGTTGGAACAGGGGAGACACACGGAAAAGTTTTCCCCTGAGGGTGGTCATGTGCTAGAAGAGGCCCTGGAAAGGGCTGGGATTGGAGTGGGACAGCCTTGCCTTGCAGAGCTCTGCGGTCTGGGGTTGGGGTGGGTGGCGATGGGCTTTTCACACCGTGTCCGTCCTCCCACCCAGGAGCAGCTCCAGCCGCGACAGGTCGGAGAAGGCTGGGGACAGAGGGGACCGGGAGTCACGTTCGGAGAAGGGCAGCGACCGCCTGGAGCGCCCCGACCGGGGGGAGCGGGCAGACAGGAACAGGTCTGCCCTCACCAAGAGGAGTTTCAGCAAAGAGACGGAGGACAGGAGCCGAGAACGGGAGAAGCAGGGCGGCCCCGAGGCTGTGCGCAAGGCTGCTAGCATGACAGAGGAACGGGACAGGAGCAGAGAGACCCGTGAGCTGGGGAGGAGCAGTGTCCGGGGTCTGGCCGCGGGCTTAGGGCTTCCCAGCTCTCAGACAGTGCCTGATCCTTGCTCTCTCCTCGCAGATAAACAAGAGCCAGCACCTCCCGCAACATCTGCCAAACCCGCGCTGTCGGAAGAGGAGCTGGAGAAGAAATCCAAGGCGATCATAGAGGAATACCTGCACATCAATGACATGAAAGTGAGAGGAGGGGGTGGCTGGACACAGCACCACGTGGCCCCTGTAACATGCCATCTACTTCCCTGGGTGGCAGCGGGGTGCCGGTGGTGCCTGGATGAGGAAGGGGGAAGCTGGGCCTGGCTGTGGGGCAGCACTGACCCCTCCTTTTTCCCCCCGCAGGAGGCCCTGCAGTGTGTACAGGAGCTGGGCAGCCCCTCCTCGCTCTACATCTTCGTGCAGAACGGCATAGAGTCCACGCTGGAGAGGAGCACCATCTCCCGCGAGCACATGGGGGTCCTGCTGTGCCAGCTGGTGAAGACGGGCACGCTCTCCAAGGAGCAGTACTACAAAGGGTGAGGGGCTGGGGCACCTCTCCCCCCCCCCGGGGCTGCTGTCTGCCTGGGTTTGCATTCGGCTCTGCCTTGAGCAGGGCTTATCACCGAGACCCCCCCTGAGCTCCCTCCCAGCCGAGGGCATGGGGGCTGATGGATCCCAACGGCCTTCCCCCCTCTCTGCCCTGCAGGCTGCGGGAGATCTTGGAGATCGCAGAAGACATGGAGATTGACATCCCACACATCTGGCTGTACCTGGCCGAGCTCATCACCCCCATCCTGCAAGAGGAAGGTATTCCCATGGAGGAGCTGTTCAGGTGAGGGCTGTACCCCTCTGTGGGGCTGCCGCGGGGTCCCGGGATAGGTTTGGGAGGGAGCAGGTAACTCAACCAAGGTCTCATGTGCCCCGCAGGGAGATAACGAAGCCCCTGGTGCCCATCGGGAAGGCCACCACACTGCTGGTCGAGGTGCTGGGCTTGTTGTGCAAGGGCATGGTGAGTACAGGGATGGCTGAGCTGCCTCGGGGGCGGGCAGCCTGCTTTAGGGGGGCAGGTTGGCATGTCGGGGTCCAACCCCCGGCATCCCTTTGCTGCCTCCGGGTCACGGGGTGGCATGGCCAAGCTGCAGGATCCCACTCCCTGGCGATGGAGGGCATGGGATGCTGATGCCGTCTGTCCGTCCCGCAGGGCCAGAAGACCGCAGGGAAGCTGTGGCGGGATGGGGGCCTGAGCTGGAAGGAATTCTTGCCCGAGGACCAGGATGTCAACAAATTTGTCACGGAGCAGGTGGGAGCTCGGCAGCGGTGAGGGGCAGGGGGGAACCCTGGTTGCGGAGGGGTCCTGCTGCCAGAGCGTGGTGTTCCCTTGTGACGCCGTTAACAGCTCATCTCTTCACGGCTTCCCCTCCCCAGAAATTGGAGTACACGATGGGGGACAGCTCGGACATGCCGAGCCACAAGGAGCTGACCTCGGAGGAGCTGTGCAAGCAAATGGACAAACTGCTGAAAGAGAACCCAAACAACCAAAGAATACACGACTGGATCGAGGTGGGGG